TAAAAAATAAATTTAAAAAAAAGAGCAACATGATCAAAAGGGCCCTGAAGGGGACATATAGTGCCTAAGGCCAATGTTTAGGATGTCTGGCCTTAAAACATTTCTGGACTTCTGTCATTCAGGACCCACACAGCACTGGATTTGGCCTCTGGGCACACTGCCAGGTGGTCCAAAACACCCTAGGACACTAATAACACTACAAGGACGGTTACCCAAAGCAATCTGGCAGGCAGAACTGGGTTAGGACTCTGCTTGCTCAGGCCTAAGGGCAGTCTTCTATCTTGTGAACTAAATAGCAGAAAGAGTTGATTTCTGAAGGAAAAGCATAACATGTACACAGATCAAATGGGAAAAGACTGAAAAAGTGCACTGCTGGAGCAAACGGTGGCTTCTTTTAGCCTTTTCCTGGATGTGCAATGCACTCTTGCCCTGGCATTCCATCGACACCACCTCATTAACCCTGCTTGGGGAGAGGGGCTTAAATTACTGTATTCTGGTTTTTGTTACTTGCAAGCAAAGACAGCCCTAATACAATATCCACATCCAGATTACTGAGTTCAGAAACTCAGCTTTACCACTTCCACTGCAGCTAATTAACCTCTGTGGGACCAACATGTTAAGAGAATCCCTAAGAAACTTATATGCACGTCAGAATGCAAACTTATTCATCTACAAAGAGAACTTAATCTAGAAGAGTAACTTGTGTGCATAACTCCCTGTGAGTATTCCACCATGGTAGGGCAAGTGTGCCTAGGAGGGGAGACAGAAGTACCTATCAGAGGATTATTTGGTGACCATATAATTAGAATAAAAAGAATGGTAAATCTTAAGAGAATTCTCTTTCAAGTCAGGATAGTTGAAAGAAATTCCTTAGCTACTCTTGGAATATTTTCCTCTGAAAAATCAGTAGTAGTCAGTCCTTGAAGTCAAATAACTTCTCATCATTCCCAGACACAGCTTTACTTTTTGTTCATGTTATCCTAGACTTACCGCAAAGGATTTTCTTTCCTGACACACAGCTCTTCCAGGAAAGCTTTACTAACTACAGCTAGTTCTTTTTTTGTAGCAGTAATTGCACGTCATTTACCAGCTCTAGTATCTGTCATTCTTCGTAGCTCCTTCTGGTCACCATCTCCTCCCCACTCCTAAGGGTAATAATCACTACCCTTGATTAGTTCCATTATTTTTAAACTTCACATAAATAGAAACATAGCACGTAGCGCATTATATCTAGCTTTTGCAATTCAATACTGTATTTGAGAGTGACATCCACATTGTTCAATGGGGTTGATTTGTTTTCTTAGTGCTGTCTATGGAAGTCCACCGAGGAGTCACAGGGTAATGTGCCAATTTATTCAGTCTACTAACAACCAGTGGAAAAGCGTCTAGTTGGAAATATTAAAAACAATGCAAGCCAGATGTAATGGTACATGCCAGTAATCCCAGCACTCTAAAAAGCTAAAATAGGAGGATCATATAGTCCATTCCAGCCTGGGGAATGTAATGAATTATCAAGATCCTGTCTCAAAACAATTTTTTTCTTTTTTTTTTTTTTGTGGTACTGGGGATCACACCCAGGACCTTGCACTTGCAAGGCAGGCACAATGCCACTGAGCTAAATCCCTGGCCTTGTCTCAAAAAGAAACTGAATGCCCTGAGTTCAATCTCCAGTACCACAAAAATTATAATGTAGCTAATCACACCATTATACATATCTTCAGTGCATATATGTGTTTCTTAGGAAGTTTTGGAATGAAATTTCAGGGTGAGAGGGCAGATTTAACAAATTTTGACAGTTTTCAAAGTACAAATTCTGTTCGACTTATTAAACAGTTACTCTTGTAAAGTAGAATATACCATATGATAAACCCATCGTAACTTGCAAATACTGTAAAGTCTAAAATACATTGAGTATACTTATTGAACATAATAGCTCAGGAACATGGAGCACGATAGTGTCAGTTGTTTAACTTCAGGATCCCCTGACTGAGAGCTGTGGCTCCCTACCACTGCCCTGAATTGTAAGGCTACATACTATCAAAAGACTAGGAAAAAAAAAAATCAAAGTTCAAAATTGTGATTTCTACTAACTATGTACCACTTTCGTGCCATCATAACATTTAAAAATTGTAAGTTGGATCATAACAACTTGGAGACCATATAGAAAGGGATCAACTGACACTTCTACCAGTAGCTTAAAATAATTCTTGTTGCTCTACATGTTCTCCATCACTTGGTAATGACTGAATTTTTTATTTTATTCATTTTGATAGATGCATAGCAACATTATATTATAATATTGTTCTGTTTGTTTTTTGGAACTGAGGATTGAAACCAAGGCCTTTGCAGTGAGCTACATTCTCAGTCCTTTTATTTTTTTTTTTTCTTTTTCTTTTTTGAGACAAAGTCTTACTCAGTTGCTGAGTTGCCCAGGCTGGGCTCATATTTGTAATCCTCCTGCCTCATCCTCCCAGAGTTTTGGGACTGCAGGCATGTGCCACCATGCCAGGCTGCCTTACGGTTTTAATTTGCCTACTCCTGATTTGCAGTGCCAGTCAAAATACAGTAAGCTCACTGTAGACTGACTTTGCCATGGATTACAATTAAAAAACTGTGGATAACACAGAAAACTATGATCTTAGCGCTCTGAAAAGTAAACAAACACATGCAAATTGGGACGAGGAATGAAAACTTAAGAGAAATGATGTGTGTCTGTTTTCTTGTTTTCTCTCTTAGCTCAGACTGGAAGGCTGGCACCCTGTGAATCTGTGGTAGCAGGAGAGATAGCAATAATTTTTAAAATCCCACTTTTTTTTTTTTACTAGAAGAATGGAGAAATGAGACTTCTATGAGCCAAAAATTTATAGGGGAATACTTAAAATATTTTCTTCATATTTCTTTGTTTTTTGGTTCTGGACTTTGACCCAAGGGTTTGGGTCCAGCTTTGGATACATAAACACCAAGAGAAAGTATCTTTGTATACAAAGAAACTAGGAAGGCCTCTATAGGGTGAAGGGTGTGGAAGAAATCTGCACAGTCTTCTTCCTTTTCTCTCACTACTTTGCCCAGATCAGGCCTTATCACCAGCTGTAGCTATGACAAGCAGCTAAAACTCCAAGAGAAACCTCCTATTTCTGAGAAAAGGATGAGGAAAAGTTGGACCCACAAGACAGCATGTGAGAGAAATATATCACAGTAGAGAGCTGGACAAGGGTTTCACACCCAAATGTAATGCCCACATACGTGCAGAACAGACCAAAGACTAAAGTAGTGTGCGCGCACGCGCACACACACACACACACAAGAATCTGTGAATTGAACAATGATGCTGCCAAAGTACCAAAATAATCCCTGTATGTGTAGGATAGTCTTGAAGGGGCACCGCAAAGGCTTTGAGAAACCAACTAACATGAAACTAGTAGTCAGAGAGGGAGAGACTGAACCTGTCATCCGAACCAGACTAAACTGATTGCCTTCTAAAACAAAATGAAAAAATCAACATTCCCCAATGTATTTTAATAAGACCCACGGTCTACAACACATTATTCAGTGTCCAGGATAATCTATGATTACGTGATATAATCAACAGCTGCCAACTCCTAAAAGACCAACATGTTAGAATTACCAAAAATGTTAAAAGCAAATATTAAAACTAAAAAGATATTAAAAGTACTTGCTTTCAGATACCAGAATTCATAAAAATGCTCATTACCTGTGCTGTTTGCAATGGCAAAACCTGGAAAAGGAAGGGATAAATTGTCATTTAAAAAAGGAGAATTACAAATATATAGAAATGAAATAAAGGAACTATGGGTACATGCAACTACATAGGATGAATTTAAAAGGATAAACACAAGACTGAAAAAGTACTTAACTATCCATAGCTAAAATCTTTACCAAATTAAACATGTATGTACACAACACAGAATTTTTTCAAACGGAACAAACCCAAAATAAAGGATAATGTTATATTTGAAGGATGATAGTGGGGTGATATTAGAGCAGACACTGGTAATTTTAACAGTGACAACATCCTGGTTCTTAAATCACTGGTTGGCTCCCTTGTGTACACTGCTTAAACATTACACCTATTTATATATTTAAAAAATAGGTTTCTACACAACATTCCCTATACTCAATGAAAAAACAAGATTTTCCTCCTTTATTAAAATAATTTCTCCAGAAAACCTGAACACCCCACGTAACTTCAATCCCAAACGTAGACTAGGTAACTCGCCGTTCCACGGCCCCGAACCCATGTCAGTCACGTCAGGACTTCCGCTTCCGCTTCCCTAGCCCCGCCCACCCAAACGGAAGTACTTTTTCTTGGGGTCCTCCCGCCGGTAGGGGGCTCTCCGAAGCTTCTAGTGCCACGGAGGCCTCCTGCCGGGACTGCCCTGAGAGTGCCTGTTATTTCAGCGACAAAAATATAGTTGTATTCTAACTTTTCAGCCATAGAAAACAAGTGCGCAGGAACCTTCGTCTGTGCAAAAACGTTCAAAGTCAACCCCGGCCTTGCACCCTCCTTCGCAGACCCTGCCGCAGTGCCGGGCGGGAGTCAGGCGCGGCGCGGACAGCCCGGAGGCGCCGAAAGCCCCCGCCCGCTTTCTCGGGGAAGACGTAACTGCGGGCGGCTGTGGTGGTGGTGGCGTCCAAGATGTCGACCAAGAATTTCCGAGTCAGTGACGGGGACTGGATTTGCCCTGACAAGAAGTGAGTTCCTGGAGGGTCCCGAGCCGGGGCGGGGTTTGTCGTGGAGGCTTTCTGTGGTCCGTCGGGCATTTCCTGTTTACGATTTCCTCCGCGAGGCGCCGGCCGAGGGCGGGAAGAGGGCGCCGGGTCTCTTCTAGACCAGGCGTTTCGGAGGGAGGGCGCTTCGTCGCGTTGGTGGCTGGCTCTCGTGTCTTCGGCGTTATCTATCCGCGGGGCGCCGGCCACGCTTTGTGGCACCGCACCGCCCCCCCCCAAGCT